GTTTTTACATAATTTACAAGTGTTAACTGACTATCTTTGTAAACGAACTTCATTACATATATTCCGTGTTTTTGCTAATATTTCTTCTCTCTTTCTCTCCTTGTGTTATTTGCATCGTGAAAAAATCTTAATGTGTTTATATGAGCAAAGACTAAACGTTTCTTGAACATGCAATGGGGCGTTATTTTTGTCCAATAGCAATTCGCCAAATCAGACCAAAGCGACCAATCAATAGCGATATTTTTATACAGACCGTCTAGCAATAAATGTATAGAAAGAAAACATTATCAGATAACATAACTGTTTCCGTTAGATGATTAAGTTGTTGAAAAACACAACCTAAAAAATAATTATATGGCATTACAATTTTTTTTACAATTTAATGTCACCTGATTTTTCAAGGGGGGGATTGACAGTTTTAAAAACTCTTCAATCAATAACTCAATAATCAATAAAAGAACGAATAAAGGAAACTGTGTATAAATGAATTAGGCTGTTAGGAAAGTAATTACATATTTCACCGCTATGAATTATTTTATATTATATAAATCATTTTATTGTATGAGGTTATTTGGAAAGTAATTACGTATTACCAAAAAGACCGCGTCCTGAGTATGACGATAAACTACGTCCAGCAGCAAGGCCTCTGATCAGGTTTTAAGGAGCGTGGAGCCACCTCTTAATTGCTGGTGTTCCCAGGTTCACCTTGACCCGCCGTGGTAGCTCCTGTTAGGGTCCCAGCAAAAAGTTAACCCCCAAACTGGGGTCAAAACACCATGAAAATGTAAAAATAGCTTTTAATACTAGCAATACATTTTTGTAAAAAATTATTACCAGCAATAAATTGTTGAAAAAAAATTGGAAGAAATACATTTTTGAAGAAAAAGTTATTACCAGCAATACATTTTTGAAAACAAAATATTACCAGCAATACATTTTTGAAAACAAAATATTACCAGCAATAAAAACCTTATCGGCATTAAATATAGCGCTGAGGTTGATATGGCGTAAAACAAACTAAACCAAACCAAAAAGAATATGATCTGCGAAGGTATGGATCTATCTCTTCTCCTCCCAGCTATGGATTAAATAGTGGGTCTTGTATCTGGGAGAATTATTGTTATATCCAAAAATTGTTAATGCCATATTCGCTCGCAAAAATAAAGAATTATTCTTACAGTTCAAAAATATTTCGGCTTTAACTAACCCAGTAAGTGTTGATAAGACGTAAAAAAAGCAAATCAATCAACTAGAAAGGACATAAAAACGAATGTAAATTAAATTCCTTTAAATATTAATTATCAAAAATGTTATCATTATTATTTTTGACGACTGCAGGCCAAGATGACAAATTGTCGATTCCACATTTAAAGTCTTCTGGGTTATTCCCTGAGAAACGTTTGCAAAAAATCTTTTCAACTTCTTTTTTTTTTTTAAGTTCTACAACTTATGAAATGTTCAAGTAATCGAAACAAATGAAAATCGATAGATTCGCCTCTCGCCCGATTTACACTTCTTCATCATTTATTGAACAGGAGTAGAGGTTTATCCCTTGTTTCCTTTTTTAGGACTGAGTTGCCGGTTCCTTTTAAAATCTTCTTATTCTCTTTCACTCTCAGAAACCTGTTTGCGTCTTAGTGGCATTATTGCCTTGCTTGGGGGAAATTATTAAAAAAGGAGCTAAATCTGTTGAGTATGTTGGATGTTATAGAACCTTTCATTCTAATGATTTTATTCTTTGGGGGAGGGGGTTTACAAGACGTACCTTCACATTTTCTTGCTGGGGATACGTTCATGAAGATTGTTGCTAATAGCCACTCTTCTGAAGATCAATGCAGCTTAATTTTCTCCAAGCATGATGAGTGGTTGTACTCTCAATGAGGCTCTTTGAACATCTATTTGGACTCATGTTCACCCCAGACCTTAAGTACAATCGATTGTTAAAAATGCTGGATAAATGATTTGTTTCTTGTGCTGCTCCTGAAAGTGCCTCATCCGTCTTGCAAAGCTCTATCTTTACAAGAGTCAAATTCTGCCATATCTGAGATGGTGCTGCCAAATCTTTATCGTTCAAAACAATTACATGGCCTTGTGTGAGATGAATGACCTCTGAACCTATCTCTATCTATAAAAGGCAGGATGTGTGTGTGTATGTAACGAATGCACAGCCGCAATTTTCGACGGATTTGCACCAAAATTTACATGCACATGCTCCAAGTTAGCAAAAAGGCCAAGATTGATTTTGCATTTCCCAACTCCTATCGATAGTGGAAATAATCAATTTTTTCATGTTTCTACGGCAATTTTCATGTAGTTTGCGGCCATTTTGTACTGGCCAGAATGAGAGCCTATAGCTGGCTGCCACGAATAGGCAGGAAGATTCTATTGGCCAGCGTGAGAGCCAGCAGCTGACTGACACGAATGTTAACTAACATGCTAGCATGCAAAAAAATAATCGATAGTTGCATTCGAAAAATTTAAATCTGCATAGCACTTTACTCCAATTGGCTCATTCGCTTGCTTAAACTCAACGTTGATTCTGATTCCGCAGAACTGGGTTGGGTGAGAAAAAGTATTCTTTTTTCATTTAGTTTTTCCCGTTACGAGTCCTTTTTTAAAGCTGATCGATTTTTGTTCATTTTGTTTAGTTCTTTTTTCGTAACAGATTCAATGTTTAGTATAGAGCTTAGAAAAAAATCGCAGTGTGAGATAGGCAAGAAGTAAGGCATGTAGCAACATCAGCACGGCAAAGGCACTCCTTTAAAGGCAAGGAAGGGCAAAAATATTTTAAGTCAAGTGATAGCGATTGCTGTATGAGTCGTACGATTTTTGAATCAAGCGCGGGCAATGCCGGGTCATGCTGCTAGTCATCAATAATGTGAACTTTTTCATGACATATGCAATGCTGTCTAAAACAATCTCAGACATGATATCAAGAATTTCGTTTTAAACAACAGATGAACTCCACTGTATATGTGCTTCTGATTTTTTAAACGCTTTTCTTTGCCGGAAAATTAGAAGTTTAAAAAGATCGGAAACTTCGCTTAATTTAGTGCGGTCAACTTATTGACCTCGTTGACCTTTGTTTTTTTTTGGGCGGGCAGTGAACAACAGAATGTCGAGAATAATTTTTAAGTCCTCTCGGTTCTATGCTACTAGGTGACTGAAAATCGAAGTTTTGGGGCTTTTGTATTCCCTTCATCATAGCTTTCTGAAGGCAAAGGGATGTTAGCACCTGTTAGGGTCCTAAATATTGGCAAATAGTTGACCTCTAAATCGGGGTCAAGAAACTATGAAAGTATAAAAATAGATTTTTATAGTAAAAATACCAGCAATACATTTTTAACAATAAATATATCAGCAATACATTTGATTGTCGACAAAACCCTCTATACCAAAATACGTTAAAGAAACCTGATCTAAATATTGATTTCTTACAAAGAATCCATATTCTATTCATACGAACCTATCCTAAAAATCTTGTCGGCATTAAATAACCCAATGAAGTTGATATGCCGTAAAACAAAATAGGTCCTATCTGATAGCAAACATACTTGTCAATGTCATACGAAATAAAAGTTTAAAATTTAAACAATTAATTCTTGATATCAATCAAACTAGATTCCTTGCCAAACCTTTTTGGTTTATATTGTGTCAAAATTGGCCGAATTCGTAGAATTTCAGTGATATTGACATGCAGATCCACTGAAAATGCATGGGTCACGCAACTCATCGTACTTTTTCTTACGAAAATATCACATTCAGAGAAATCTAGTTCTGTAGAAACAAATGATTATTTTCCCTATAATATCATTTTTTTTATACTAAAATACAATCCCCAAGAGCCACTCAAGGTAGAAGATTACTGTTACGGTGTTGTGCTGTATGAGCATAAAAAAGTGAAGTTCATGGAGTCATGCTATAAAGATAACGGTTAACCCTAGACTTGAAAGAGGTCAAGATTGTAGGGAGTGGGAAAACATCCTCTCGACAGTCAGTTCCACAAAGCAGCGCTTCATAGGAAGAAGTTGTGGAACTTCCTCCTTACTAATGGAATGCGAAGGGAAGGAAGCTGAGTCATCCTTGTGTAGGTAGTATGGTGGGTACTAGTGAGACCAAGGGATGTAGCTCGTTAGAACACATGCCATGGAAACAGCGATAGCGACATGCTCACGGTTTGGTCTATGGGAAAGGGGTTGTAGTGTGGAAAATAATTAATCACCCACAAGGTCGCGTAGACCTAGCAAGACCGACAAGTGACGACAGTGCAGCTCCAATCCAGATATGGCAACAATACTCCATATTTGCTCTGATCTGATTATAGATAGAGTCAAGATAGAAAAACAGGGCGAATAAGATGCTTACTGGAGCGGTACACTGAACCCAACATTTTCCCATGATTTTAGCAATAGATCGTATATATGTGCTGTACCATACTAGTTTACTTCTGGAATTATTGAAATTTACAAGCTAGCCCCCCGCTTAAGTTCAGGTTCTGATCTTCCAGATTTTTGCAGGTGCGTCTATAAACTGTTATATCATCTGCGTCATCATCATTATTATTGTTTTAATTTTCTTTGTCAGGAGGATTCAACGCTGAATGTTTTTCAAAAAAGGCATCCAATATTGGTAATGATTTTCCGGTCATTTGCGTAAGTGTAGCATTTTGAGCGCCATGAAAAGTCCTAACGTGTTTTTCTTTGTAATCTAAGTTTAATTTCTTGATGCATTATGCACATTTTATGTGTTGATGATAAAACCGTTTGCATATTTTTTTTCCAAGATGAGTCTTGGTGTACAAATATTTTATTAGCAAGAAGGCGCTGAAAAGACTGAAGCAAACACTTCCAAATTTAAAAGTCTCAAATAAGCAATCTGTCAAGCGCACAATTTTAACCTTTTGCTCCATCTGTTATCTTTTCTTCTGGCTATGCGTTCAACATTATTTTCGTTTTCGACATTTAATCAATTTTATCATCTCTTTGTCAGTTCCCATAATCATGTTGAGACTTTTCTCTCTCGTAGTCTTATCCACCCCTTTCTTTCTTTCTTTCTTTCTTTCTTTCTTTCTTTCTTTCTATGCAAATCCTCCGGATATGCAGTAAGTATAGCGGAAAGGCAGCGGATTGCTTTTTTAAAATCAGCGATTTTCCTTCACTTAAACGGGCTATTAGCTGAGGTTTATCAACCAATGTTGATACTTTTCATACTTTTTCTTCTCCTAGACTGGCTGCTACCCATGCTATATATATATATATATATATATATATATATATATATATATATATATAAAAGTCTTTATAAGAAAATATAAACAACCTATATAGAAAATATTAAAAATTATATAGAAAATATAAAAAATCTATATAGAAAATATAAAACGTCTATATAGAAAATATAAACACTGTATAGAGAAAATTAAAAAATCTATATCCAAAATATAAAAATATATATAGGAAATGTAAGAAATCTATATACATAATATAAGAAATCCATATAGAAAATATAAAAATTCTTTGTAGGAAATATAAAAAAATTTATATAGTAAAATATAAAAAATGTATATAAAAAATATAAACAGTGTATATAGAAAAATAAATATAAAAATCTTTAGTTTGATCCGCATTAAACGGCTTCGTATTATAGTTATTTTCCAAGCGTAGCTTAGATGTGGCACAAGGCTGAAAGTATGGGGCATCTAGTGAGGATCGAACTCACTTTTCAGTTGTAACTGATCTAGCGAGACAAGCTTGCTAACCATTACACTACGCCGAGGTGCCCACGACTTAGCATTATATTACCAGATTTTTCATATACATAAATACATTTTAAAGTAAATAATGTCTTCATAATGTAACTTTATTTCTCTTAACTATGACCGTTATATTTAGCGGGTGCAGATGTTTCAATAGATATTCCGATATTTTTTAATGTTTTCCCACGTTAAAATGAAGGCAGCTTCAGTTCTTGCCGAGAAGCACATTTTCGGCAGATGTTAATTTCACGGTTGAAAAAAACAAACAAGGCTGTCCACTCAAAGATATGCATTTACAAAAAATTGGTATTCATAATAATTGGGCATAAATAGAGACACACGAAAGAGAGTACGGCGCGCATGCGCACATATCCGCAAGTATTGCAAACGTGTCTGAGAGTGAACTGAATTCGATTTTCAGGATTAATGTCCTCATATTTATGGTTATTTTTGACCGTTGTGCTCTCGTGCCTTCTTCAGGTGTCTCTCGACCCGAGTCACTGTTCAGGAATTTCGAAATGAACCCGTTATTGAAACTATGTAGGTAAATTGTTCGGTGAAAAATGTCTTCTCTTTTTAGTACTGTTCAGTTATTGCTCGCCCTGTTTCCACTGGATCTAAATTTGTACTTTGTGTATTCAATAGTTATTTTGTAATTAAAAATTTTGGCATTCTATCTATCTATCTATCTATCTATCTATCTATCTATCTATCTATTGTATTTTCACTTACTGTTCGTCCTGTTGCCATGGTGTCTACATTTGCATTGTGTGTACAATAGTTACTTTGTACTTAAAAATTTTAGCATTGTATCTGACGAATCTATCTATCTATCTATCTATCTAACACATACAATTCTACTGTTCAGTTATTGCTCGCCCTATTGTCACTTGGTCTACATTTGTACTTTGTATATTTAGTAGGTATTTTGTAATTAACAATTTTGGTATTCTATCTATCTATCTATCTATCTATCTATCTATCTATCTATCTATCTATTGTATTTTCACTTACTATTCGTCCTGTTGCCACGGTGTCTACATTTGTATTGTGTGTACAATAGTTACTTTGTACTTAAAAAATTTGGCATTGTATCTGACGAATCTATCTATCTATCTATCTATCTATCTATCTATCTATCTATCTATCTATCTATCTATCTATCTATGTGCAGGTCTATCTATCTATCTATAATATGCAATTATATTGTCAGTTATTGATTGCCCTGTTTCCACTGGGTCTCGCAATTACTGTCTCTAAATTCATGAACCAATGCTTTAATCCTCTCGGTTATTGTCCTGTGGGATAATCCTGAATCAAGAATTTGAAGTTGTAATCTTAATATTCTAGTCTGCCTCTACTGTTACTGCTGCTGCTGCTGAAACCTTCATATCGTGACCCTTACTTATCTCCCATATAGTTTTTATATCTAATGTATTATTTCAGAGTAAACTAAACTTTGTAAATGTCTCAACGAGGACATTTTAGTATATTAGTCTTACTAAGTCTCACTACATTTGTGTTCAATAGTTATTTTATACTTAAAAATTTTGGCATTGTACTCGACTATACTATCTATCTATCTATCTTTTTTTTTAAAATCGTTTCACCCCAAGCAAGGCGGGAAGCCACTAGCACGCAAGGGGTTACAGAGAGTTGGAGCGAAAGCAAATAGGAGTGATAGAGGAAAGGATGAAGAGAAGGATAGGGGATAGATCAAGGCATCTGGAGATGTCGATTGACATTACATTTGAATAGCTGGAGATTATATCTATCAAGGAAACAGGAGAAGGGGAGGGAGTTCCACAGGCGAGAAGTGCGAGACATGAAGCTATTGGAGTAAAATAGACGGCTACATTTAACAGTTTCAACAGTGAAAGGGTGAGAGCGAGATGCCAGCCCAGTTGAATGCTTAAATTCATGAAGTTTGGGAACCAGTGAAAGCAGCTCATCGGAGGAGTTACCATGAAAGTATTTGTAAAAAAGACAGAGGGAGACGACGGCACGTCTATGAGAGAGCGACTGCAGACGAGATGCCAGATCAGGGCCAATTACATTGCATATCCGTCTCTGGTTCTTATCAAGGGCCCTGAGACAAGTAGAAGGGGCTCCAGACCATATATGGCAGCAATACTCCATGCAAGGGCGAATGGTTGATTTGTAGAGTTTAAGTTACACAGAAAATGCATTGTAAGTTATACACATTTACATATGCAATCTGACATATGCCTAAAGGGATGTGAAACTTCATTTTGAATTGGCAAATGGGATACAGTCATGTACTTTTGTTTATACTAATGAATATGACAAGAAGATTTTGCTTCACTCGATAGAAATACGCGTAAAGGCCAATTCACATGCACAGACGAGACAAGCAAAAGAGAAATAAAAATTATGTGAGACACAACATGAAAGAAATAAAGAAAATAAAAAAAACTTTAAGCACGTCGTGCGAATTGGAACTTTTCTTTTCCGGTACTCTTTCATCCTGTTACGTCAAGCATTTCCCAATCGCCTGGCTTCCTCTGCCAAATTCTTTGATCACTCTAGAACCTGATATTGATCAAGTTTTCCAGACTCTCTGCTCTCTCTGACTTTTACTGGAGAACGCTTGAAAGGCAATGAATATTTAATAAGCACAAGAGACGATTGAACTAGCATCGTATGAAATCATCTTTAGTACCATAGGTGTACAGCAGTGTAAATTTTACGGGTAGCAGTTCAAGTAAGTTGGTTCTTGGTAAAACCTTCGTAAATAACTTATTTTGAATTAAAACGCCGAGAGTTTTGAGGAGTCGAACAGGGTTAATAGAAACTTGATCAATAAATTTGTGTGGTTTGAAAATCTTCCAAGTTTATCAATACCCAAATTCCTAAAATACAAACATTTGTTTGTTGTCTGAGCAGGAGTAGTTACAACTTGTTGCTGATGAGTATGAACATTTAAAGTAAATTAATTCAATATTTTCAAAAGAAATGAATTCAGCATGTGAAAGATCTTATATATATATATATTTCATATAAAGAACAAGAGAGCTCATAAAAAAGAAAAAATTACATTGATGTATTTATATATGTATATATAAATAAAAAGAAAGAACAGTAAGTTATATAATCCGGTGTTCTTATTGATATTTTTTATTTTTATTTTTACAAAACAGTGCTCAGTGTAAACTTACAAAGCATAAATATTATAAATTAGCTGATTTAAAATATGATTCTTTTCGCTACATAGTAATAACCATGTTTCAAAAATGGAAGCTAAACATTTCAAATTTAAACTTAACTAAAGTTAACCACTTTTTCAAACGTAACTCATAATTGATACAACAATAGTTAATAAAAATGAACACGCTACCGCCCCTGTCTGAATGATTGGATTTCTCTCTATCCTTGGAAACAGGAAATTATGAATTTATGTGTGTGTTTAAAACTCAGTAAATTTAAAAATAAGTTATTCCAATATTCGCTTGAAGATGAAATAGAACTAATGCTTTTAATTTAATTACAAAATTAAATTTGAAGTTTTTAGCTTCCATTTTTGAAACATGGTTATTACTATGTACCGAAAAACATATTTTAAATCAGTTAATTTATAACATTGATGTATTTATAGATGCTCCAAAAAGTCAAATAAAAACATTTGTGTATTTAATAGTAGTGTATAGTGTGTGTGCATAATTCGTGTGTGTATGTGATTGTGTATAGTGTATGTGTGATTGATTGGTAATACTTGACAGAATTTTTCAAGTTTCTTTAACCCTTCGCCACACAATTCTGATGTGTGGTCATTGAAATACTGGTTTTAGGAAAAGAGTCGGGAAATTCCCAATACCCTGATATAGGGACCTTCACAAAAAAAAAAAAAAACAACAACAAAAAACGTGATAACCTCTTTTAAAATGAATTAAAGAAAAAATGAAAAATCTTTCTTGTAGTTTTTACTTTACTTTTAATTCCAATAGATTAAATTTAATATTTCCAATAAGCAAAATACTTTGCTGCATTTCAAAAATTAATTCAAATTGACCGGAAGGAATTTTTTTTTTCTAAAACAGCGGAATGGCGCTCTTTTTTCGTTGCAGTATAATTCCTTCTATGAAAAATCTTGCCAAAATAAAATATACTTTTCTGAAACTTTATTTGGGCAATATTAGTTGATTTAAAGTATAATTAATCTGATTTGAAACAATTATTATTTACTTTAAGTTTAAAATGTCACAGATATGCATTCTTTTTAAAACTCAACAGTTGTTGTATTCACGTACATCTAATGTTGTACTACTTCGACTTTATCTGTAAAACATAGCTGAAGAAAATTTCGTTTCTTTATTATTTAATTTTTAAGTGCTCAGTAATCTTAAAAATTTAGTAAAATATTTTCCGTAATCTAATGTTTTATTGAATTTTTGGAAATTTTGTCTTTAAAATTACTTTAGTCGTCACTCTTATTTTCTGATAATGTCATGTATTGTCGCCTGTACTGACAAAAATCGGCGCGTTTATACATGTAAAAAAAGAATTCAAAATTCTTTTTAAAATATTGGTGTTTAATGATTTGAATTAAGCTTTTCTATTTAAGATTAGTAAATATAGTTTTTAATTTTAATATCATCTGTAATTAATACAGAATTTTAAAAGATTTAAAACTTAATAAAGTTTTCAAATTAAAATTTAAAAGACGGATAACAATTGTTATAAAAATTCATTATTCATCGAAAAAAATGTTTTCTTAAGAAAATAATGTCCTTAATATATCCTATTTCCGAAAGCAATTAAAAGCTTTTCTAATTAAATAATGTCATAGTTTTATTAGATTTTTTATTTTCGGTAAATTGTGCTTCTGCTGATAAAATCAAATTGATGATTTGAATTCTCCAAGGACTCCTGCTTTTAACTATTATAAATATAAAGAGGCTGAAATTCTGATTTCTCGAAATTTTAAAAAATTAAGTAGGCGGGTAACAGATGATGTGTTGGCACGCGAGGAGTCTGCTGGCATCTCTCGAAACTCAGTGTCTGTCTGACTTGAATTAAGTCAGGCGATTCTTTTTTTTTTTTTTTAATAGATTTTTGGGTTTTCAAATAGGCTCCAGATAGCTGCGCGGGAAAAAGGATTTGTTTAAACTTGCTACATTTTGTGTCCTTTTAACCAATGAGAAGTTGAGTTTGGAAATGTGAAGTGTTGATTGGTTAAAGGTTAATTTGGGGAAGAGTGCATCTTCCCGTGTGTGTGTGTGTGGGGGGGGGGCAGGCAATTTTGGAGGATTCCATAATGTAAATAAGCTTACTAGCAGTATACAATATGTGTATTAAACATCTTACTCGTCGTATTAACTAAGGGTATTAGATCTCTACTAGAAGTATACAATAAATGTATTATACAGCTTACTAGCAGTAATACTAGTATTAAGTAAGGGTATTAAATCTCTTACTAGAAGTATACAATAAGTATATTAAATCTCTTACTAACAGTATACAATAAATGTATGAAATTTTACACTAGAAATATGTGTATTAAATCTGTTACGAGCAGCCTCCAAACCCTTTCGTAACGCTTCCCGCTACTCTATCGCTATTTCCATGGAAAATGTTCTGACAAGCTTTATTCCCTAGTTCCACCAGTTCACCTCTTTGATAATAAGACCTGCTATGTCATCTATACACAGGTGAACCATCTTTATTCCTTTCGTATCGCATTGGCAAGAAGAAAGTTCCATTTGGGCATTTTCCTTCCAAGAGCCGCTGCTATGTGAAATAGACTTTGTAGAAGATCCTTTAAGTTTAGGGTCGACTGTTATCTCTCTTACATATTTTCAAAACCTACAAAACTTACATTCATAAAACAACACTTCAGTAATTCTCTACCTTGAAGGGCTCTTGTGACTTATATTGGATGAACAACAGAAAAATGATACTGGAGGTTGAAGCTGGGGAACAAGGTGGACGGTGTATTTTGTAATTGATTTATTTGCCAGGTACAAATTCCTAGGCCATTTTTTATAGTGAAGAATCCATTTATCTGACCAGTGATCGACTATTTTTCTTCGAAAAGATTTTCTTAAGTCTTTCAGTATTTCCAAGTATATATATTATAAATTTTCAACTGAGAGTAACACTAGCTGTCGGTAAATAAATGCTTAATGTTTCCTAATAAGGAAACGGCTAATACTGACGTTACCATTACAATTTCT